ATTTATAATAAAAATTCTTCTATTTGAATCAATATTTATTCAATTTATAATAAATATTATCCTAATATTAAATTTAGTATATATTAAAATCAAATATTTGTATTTAAAAAAACTGTTACAGATTTTATATTTTATTTACTATGTTTTATAATAGTTTTAGATTTTAAAGATTTTATTTTCAGATTTTAGATGTTATTTATAATTTTATAATAGTTTTATTTTATTAGATTTTATTTAACCGAATTACAGATTTCTGAAGTTAAAAAGTAGAAAACAATACGTTGCCGTTTTCTATCGTTTAGAATTAGGGTTGCCTATGCATGCACAACGGATATAACTCTAGTGAGGCTCCGACGGCCAATTTTCAGGATTTTGTCCAGAATCGTGCGATTCATCAACAAGTCGCAATTTTCCGATTCCATAAGCGATTCATGCGATTCGTATCGCTTGCTCCGTGAACCGCATCGTATCGGAGGATACGAATCGTGTATCGTACAATACTAATATGGAGGGCAAGATAGAGACTGCAGACAAAAAGGTAACATCCGAAGCTTGTTTTTTTTTGAAGTGTTGTTCTCAGCGAGCTCAATATTTTATAATATAGGGAAGTATAAGCTTCAAAAACGCACGTTTGTTAGTTCTCTGGTTGATTCCAACGCCTTTGAAAAACACTTCAACTTATACTGCTTTTGTTTTTAGTTTCTTTAGATGTTTAATGTTTTGAATCAGTAGAATGTTTTCCAATAAGGGCTTTTCTAATTTTTGGACTGTCAATCAATATGTTTAGCTACGAACCCTTGATATTTTTGATGAAGAGTGAGTTGAGTTATAGATAATTGAAAAGAAAAAACAATTATTTGAATATTTTAGGTGGGGAATTTTAGATTCATTATTCACATAAGTACACATTAGTTGTGTTTATTTTGTTCTTTTTAACAACTATGCTTGCTGGTTTAAGTGGCAAGTAGTTAAGTAAGGTCTTTGATTCAAATGTTTTGATGGAGAAAATAGGCACTTTGGAGAGCTATGTCTGTGAGTGGGTTCATCTGAGTCCTTGAATTGACTTGGATGAGTAGAGGCCCAAAGTGACTTCAAGATACTAGGTTTCCTACAGTGTGACAAATGATAATGGGGGTTTAATAATTGTGTTGTGCACTCTTAGTTTAGCTACAAAGCAGCTCACGAAGATTTGCTGTGTGTTTACTCTTAGTTTTAGTTATTTGTTTCTTGTCATAGTTTCAATAGCGATGAGGAAAAGTCAGTCATCATTGGACTAATGCCTATGCTCTAGTATTTATATTGGTGAAAGACTACATTTGCTATGAAATTCCTGAATCCGTAAATAGAGAAATAGGGATTAGTTTTAGATTCATGTCATCACATGTTTGCACAAATTCCTTATAACTTTGTTGTTTCCACGTGATGATGATCAAACTAGTGACATCATCAATAGTCATATAGATAAATTATGATCTCATGAGTGTTAGTTTTTTTTCCCCTTTCCTTCTGTTCCAGCAAGATAACTAGTGCTTCCATGTGGATAGGTACTGGTTGATATTGTAAAATTGGCACAAAAAAGAGGCCTGAAGGGTAAACTGGGAGGCTGGAAAGAATTCTTGAACAGTTATGACAAAAAGTTTGGGGCAAGTATGAGTGATCCATCAAAGAGATCCCATGAGATATTGGCTGCATTTCTGAATACATTTTCAAAGGAGGAAGATTTGAAGGTAAACAACTTTTCAGTTCCTAGTATCATACATACACACACAAAAGATGGAGTTTCATCTATTTCTCCTCTGTGCTCAGTTTTTTGATAACATCATGCGACATCATTCAAATCAATACACATTGGAGAAACTGAAAGACAAATCTCATGATTCTCCTGAGCAGGTGTGTTATAACTGTGATTGTTTTGCTAAAAATCGATTTAAGATTTGTGGTTAAATCTTCTTTCATGGATTATACAAGTACTTGTATTAATAACTAATAATGTTGTTTCACTTGACATAACATATTTGTTTAAAGCAATTGAGTTATGACTCAAACATTAATAAGCATTATATTCTACATTTTGTAACTTGTCTATTGAAAACAGAATTCCCTTCCCGTGAAAGTCATACTCACAGCATGTGTTTTGGGCTTTCTACCAAGTACCAACTTTATTGTCATATCCTTAAGTGATTCAACATTTTTATTCAATTTTATATGGTAATTAACTATTTCAATTGTTTTTTACATGTACGTTATGCCATATTTCCTAAATGACTATTTACATAGTTATGAACTTTTAATTTTTTGAGTTCTTGTTTTCCTGGTTTATATTATCTAAATCATCATGCCAATTTTAAATTGGCTTGCAAGTTGAATATGTCTTCTTATTTGAATCAAATCTGAATGTAGAACTAGATCCTAAAATTGAAGAGACTGCAATTGATAATGGCATAATGCATAATCTCTGTGATTCAGCTAAGACATGTATTCTGATATTACTTTTTACTATTAATTATTGCTTTCCTTCTTGCTGGGTTTTGTGATTGATAATGGAATGAACATGATTTTCACATCAACTAGTAAATAATTTTACTATTTTTTTTAACCGTCTGATGTTGGCAACACAGAGGCTGGTCCAACTAACTCTGCAGCATCCATTATATCCATTGGATTATTCATTTTCATCCATTGATGAGGTTTGTTGCCACCTTCTGTACTTGAATTTATTGATAGTTATACCGATTCATCATTTATGTTACTTATTTGGTGTGGATTTGAAGGAGTGGATAGTTATAAACCTTAAAAACAAATCTAAGGTGATGAAGTCTACTGCAATGGTTGCTGTTGACTGTGAAATGGTTCTCTGTGAGGATGGGACTGAAGCGTTAGTTAAAGTCTGTGTGGTAGACCATAATTTAGAGGTAATTTGTGCACAATCTTCCTTGTTACACCCCCCCTCCTTAAATAAATAAACAAGTAGGTTGCATGTAATTTTGTTTCTAATCACTCTCCTTTTTTGAGGTTATAGATATATAGATAGATAATTTCTGATACTTTTCAGGTCAAACTAAATCAACTTGTAAAACCCGACAAGGAAATTGCAGACTACAGAACAGAAATCACTGGTATCTCTTCTCAAGATCTAGAGGCAGTGACTTGCTCCTTGGCTGATATACAGGTATCTTGTGGTTTCCTTTGTCGTTTTTCTATATCATCATTTCAAGTGCATAATGAAAGATGTGTTGTGCTTCTATAGAAATCCATGAAGAAATTGTTACCAAAAGGAACCATATTAGTGGGACACAGTTTGCATAGTGATTTACGTGGTAAGTTTGATATACACTTCAAGTTTATTTTGGTCTCCTTAAATCTACTGTTAGTTTTCGAGTATATGGAAGAGACTACTTTTGTTGAATTATTTTTTGAGGTTCCATTTTATTTACTAATTTCAGTTGTTTTGCAGTGCTGAAGCTTGATTATGTTAGAGTGGTTGACACTGCATATATCTTCCAATCATTGGATGGATCTATTCACAGGAGACCTTCTTTGAATAGATTATGTCAGGCAAGTATCAAATACTTTAATGCAAAAATATTAAGGTTCTCCATTGCTTGCCTTTTTAAGTTATGAAAACATTACTATTAGAAATTACCACTTAATCATTTCTGTAGAGGAATCATATTTTTAATATAAAGTCTTTTTCATGTGCACTTGTGCTTTTGTCTATATTTTAAGTTCCAAATATTTCACCATAAAATTAACAAATTTCAATTTGTCAAAGAAAATTATGGAAGGATAAAAGAAGGAAAACTGAATGGCAAATACTGAGCTTTGATTTATACTTTATCACCAATTGTTGTGACAGGCAGTGTTGGGCCATGAAGTTCGGGAAAAGGGTGCTCCACATAATTGTCTAGATGATGCACGTGCAGCTATGAATCTTGTTCTTGCGAGGATCAAACATGGAGTCGATAGGGAATTTCCAATTCCATTGATTGAAGAGCATGTAAGCTGACATACACATATGCAGTACTACATTATAGTTTGTACTCATGGTGGTTGGTAACTAAAGGTCAATACTATTACTGTTATCTCATTTTAGGTTTCAGAAAGTGAAATGGCAAAGCTTCTTCTTCACAAGATACCAAACACTGTAGACAATGAAACACTGCATAAAATTGTTCTCGGAGACTTCAAAATAGAAGTGAAGGTAATGTGTCCTATGAGTATCTCAATGTTTTGATGAAAGGATTGTTGGTTTTATTGAAATAGTATGAATGTCGTTGATTTGAGGACATTTAGGTTTGTCTTATTAACTCTTGTTTGCAGTCTGCCACTTGGTTATATTTCATGTTAGTTCTAACGCATTGTAAAATCTGCTGCAGCCTTCCAGGAAAGGTCAAGGAGAATATTATACTGCCTTGGCTGTTTTTAGAAACCAGCAAGAGGCAGATGATGCCTATGAAAATGTCCAAGGAAGCAAATTAAAGGTATGATATACCAATTTCAAACGAGGCTACTTGATATCACTAAAATTGCTTGTTGATTAGCAGAACTAATGAAATGCACAAATACTTGAACCCATTTGTTCCACTATAAATGTTTTAAAGCCAGACCAGACATGTATTTGATTCTCATGTCAAAATCTGATGAACTCTTTTCCTCTAACGCTTGTTCAAAACGAGGATTGTTTTCTTGACAACTTATGTTGATAAACTGATATTGCAGTTGTATATCACTGAAGCATATTTATTTGCTATAGAATTGCTGATCCATCCATCTAATACCTACTGATGTATATTACTTTATGTTAGGATACAAATGGACTTCCACAAAAACGTGTAACATTTAGGCTGAGTTCAGGCATGACTGTCAATATATTTGTTCGGAAAATGGCTACCAATGAACCCAATGACCGTACTCCATCTAAGAGGGCTTTACAAATGGATGAGGCAGTTGATGCTTCCAAGAAAGCAAAGATGGATCCAAAAATTGAAGAGGATGCCCTGACAAGCTTTGGCAAGGGTGACACTGAGGCCCATTTGAATGAGATTGAAGAACTGAATCAAAGATTGAAGCAAAGTGAGATGGAGATTGAATCATTGAGGAAACAGTTGACACAAAAGGATTTTGAAATTACCATGTTGCATAAATTGGTATCCTCCTTAAAAAAGCGATAGTAACAAAGTATAGCCCTGACATGGTTGGTGGATTGTCTGGTCAAATGAATTCGAGGGTGTGGTCCTCGGGTGAGTCCTTATAAAGTTATGGTAATTTCTTAAAATCCACTTGGGGTAACCCTGGACTTTTGATACATCTTTTATAGTTGTGATGTTAACTACTGATGTTCCAAAACTTGCGTGTTTCCATTCCAAATTTGGAATTAAAATTTTGCCTCAGAATGAGTAAGTGGACTGAAGAATGCATGTTGTCCACAATGAACGTTTTACCTTGGTATCATTAGTCATTGCTGCAGTTAAATTTTTTATTGGTAGTTTGGCATGTGCAACAATGTTATTTGTTTGAACTATTTCTTTTAATATTAAGATCGTAGTAGTAACTTTTGATTTGCGCATCTTTTAGCTGTAGATGTTATAAATTGGGTTTTGTATTTTTTTAGATGATGTTAACTCTTGCTTTTCAAAAATTATGCTTTGAAGGTGTTGGGGGTACTTGGAAATTTCATCTGATTGTAAAAGATGTGTTAGACGCATTTAAAGTGTGCAATTCACCACAAAATCTCACGGTGACGAGATATTCAGTAGATTTTGACAAGAGAAATGGTAACAGCACACTTTTAACAAATATAAGCATGTAATAACATCAACTATTTATTTATTTATTATTAACAGGAAAGGTTTGTAATTTTAATATTTTTTTTCCAGAAATGAATCACTCACCTTTAAAGTGTAAAATCCTAAGATTTTACTTTTTCAAATTTATCTATATAATAATTCATATATAGAAAGGAAAACGAGACAATATAGGAACTATAATCCAAATATATGGTTATGCTCCAGCTGGTTCTTCTTTTGGAAAGACTTGTCTAAAGCGAATTTCAAAAGTACTTATAAACAGATTAACTTGTCAAAAATTTGAAACTAGAAGAAATAAGTAAATAGACAAAAATAAATACAAAATACATAGAAAATCAACAAATAGTTAAATACGTAGAGGATCATAAATGTGAACAAAGGGAAACATAATGTAAATAGGCAACATTGCAATGTTTCATGTTCAATCATATATTTTTCACCATGTATAGCAATTTTGTTAACATTTATAATAATTGCTTTCAAAATTATTATAATAGTTAATTTTTTACAATACCTTTGTATAGTCATCAAACTCTTATAAGATGTAAAGCTTAGGTGTGTGTATGAATGTTCCAAGAATCCTCTCTTGGTTCTTGTTCTTCTTCTTTCTTCCATGGTAACGCATGGACAAGGCCTTGCCTTACTATTTCATCTCCTTTGATTGTCCACAAGCCGTCATTAGCCCAGGTTTTATCTTTTTTTTTTTTTGGATGATGTTCTGGTTCTTTTTTCGTTTTTGTGGCCTTGCTAGAAGGGTGATGTTCTTGCAATCAACATCCCTGAGGAGGCCAACCAAGAAGGTTTGGCTAGATGTAAATTTCATCTTCATGGTAGAAATCTTCTTAACAAGGGTTAAACATTGATCGAAGTTGCAGATCTTCATGTAAAATTGTCCAAGATTTGGGCTAAGATTGTTGGTTGGAAACTCATATCTTTTAGTAGAGGTTTCTTAGAGTTTGAATTTCAAAGAAATGTTGATCTTCAAGTTTTTCTTGTGGTAGGTTTTTTGAATTTGGATCCTGGGATTCTATGGCAATCTATATGGAAGCAAGACTTTAATCCCCGACTACATAGAAACTCTCATGTTTAGGCTTGGCTGAGGATCTTTGATCTTCCTTAAGAATATTGGAGTCCAAGAATTATATTCTCCATTGACTCTAGTGTGAGGATTTTGATTTCTTTAAATAAAGCCATTTTGGAGCATACATACAATCATCTTGCAAGAGTTTTGGTGGAGGTGAATCTTGAAGAAAGCCTTTTTGACCAACTTCTTGTTGAGAGGGAAGACTATGCTTTCTTTGTTTCTTTATTCTTTGAAAAACTTCCTAATTTTTTCACTTCATGCCATAATATTGGTCACATAGTTTCCAATTATAGAATGTTTCAATCAGATGGAGAGGTTTGTAGCAATCTTAGAAACTTTTCTGAAGTTGTTATAGCTCCAAGAGAGGTTCTTGGAAAAGTTGGTTCAAAATCTCATGCTGGGGAGCCTAGTTAGAAATCTAAGTCGATGCAGACCCTGTTGGTGAAAATGTGGTTGTTGATAAAGACAAGCTTGGGGTACTTGATGCAACAATTGATACGGGTGCTATTAGTGGGTTTATTGTTTCAGCTATTCGGCCAATTTTGATTTCTGGTTCAAATATGAGTGCAAGGGTACATGCTGACTTGTAGTTAGCTTATGTTCCTGTTGCTGATATTGCTCTAGACCATTCTAGTGTGGATCAACCTTCTTATGTTGTAGTTGTTCCAACTTTGATTGCTAGTTCCAAACCTGTTGTTGATGCAGTTTGGCCTGATTTTGCTGTTGGTCCTCAACATTCTAGGGTTGCCTTGGAGCGTGATTGATATCAACCTCCTATTAGGAAGGTGTATAACAGGAGAAATAGGCAGGGAGTAGGGAATTAAATTGTAACAAAATAATTGAATGTATTAGCTAGAGAGTTATGTGGTGTATAAAAGGGGGAATAAGGGTCTCTATGGAGATTTTTTGGGGATCATTGATCGGAGGAGAGTTCAAGTCTCTCAAATACCTAAAAACAGTTAGTTGAAATAAAATTCATAATTCATTATTTTTCCTTCTATCAACTATTATCAAAGCTTTAATCATGGAGTAGTGGGTATCATATTTTAGCAGACTTATGGCATTGACAAAAATGAAAACCAGAATTGACAGTTTAGAGAAAGCAATTGTGAGTTTGAATCGAAACCAAGAAAGCATTGATGAATGTTTCACACAGGAAAAATGTCGTTAAGAGTAATGAGATGAAAGATTGAAGAAGATGGAAGGCATGATCAAACGATTGGTTTCAAGATTGGGTGAGAATACGAGTGGCAGAATTACAATACAGAATCAAGATTCTAGAGCAGTAGCAGGAGACAAAAGGTGGAAATTAAAAATCCTAATCTTTGAAAGTGATGACACATATGGATGGATAAGCAAGGTGGAACACTATTTTTGATTAAAAGGAGTGATAGAATTCAAAAAGATGCAAACAGGATAGTGGTTTTAGTAGTAGAAGTTTTTGGTTAGTTCTAGTGGGAGACTTGCAATGGGAATCCATCATGGGAAGGGTTCAAGATAGGCCTAATTAAGAGATTTTAACCAATAATGATGCGAAGTCCTTTTGAATTTTTTTCTTTCCTTGAAACAAACTCAATCAGTTAATAAGTTTATCAAGCAATTTGAGAAATATGTAGGGGCAATGATAGGATTAGAGGAGACATATTTGATGGATGTATTTTTGAATGGGTTGAAGGAGGAATTCAATGCCAAGATGGAATTATATGAGCCAAGAACCCTATCATAAATAATGAGTAAGGCTAGGAAAATTGAGGAGAAAAATGTTACCATGACAAGGATAGGAGGTTATTTAAGGAGAATTCAGTAGGACCTTACAAGGGGTTTTGTCATATCAAGCACAATAGAGAGTGGAATTTCACTGTGACTAAGCTGTTGGAGATAGGCAATAGGGGACCCTAAGCATCTTCAAACATTAGTAACAACATGGACACCATGACAACAAGGGAGATTCCAAGATTTTAAAGATTGACAAATGCAAAGGTGAAAGAAAAAGTGAGGAAAGAGAAATGTTTTAGATGTGATGAAAAGTTTGGCCACCATATATGCAAGAATAAACAGTTCAATGTAATGGTGCTAGGAAAATTGGAGAAAAATGATGAGGAAAAATGGGATAAGAACTAGAGAGGGAAGAAAACACTAAAGCCCAAATATCTATGCACAATATAGTTAGCTTAACAACTAGGAGATCCCTCAAGATATGGGGGCGAATTAGAGTCTCTAGAGTAGTGGTATTGGTGGATTGTGGGGTTACGCATAGCTTCATCTCCAAGGAATTGGTAGAAAAGATGGGACCATTAGCCAAAGATACTTCTCCTTATGTAGTGGAGGTGGGAGATGGTCACAAAATTAAAAGTAATGGAGTATGTGAAGGAATCAAACTTGAAGTACAAGATTTTACCATTATACGAGATTTTTTCTTGTTTGGATTGGGGGAAGTAGATGTAGTCTTGGGACTAGAATGGCTTGTAGGATTAGGAGATTTTACGGCAAACTTTGATAAATTGACCTTCACAATCAAGGTAGGTGAGAAGAAACAAACATTGAAAGGAGAACCTGAATTAACTAAGTCTATTACTTTAATGAAAATCATTTAGGGGGCATTACAAGATCAAGGTCAAGTATTTGTGATAGGTTGTCATATGATAGAAGAAGCTTAATGTTAAAGTACAATGATTCCAGTTAGGGTATAGAATGTAATGGATGGATTTGAAGGAGTTTTACGAGAATTAGAAGACTTACCCCCTAATAAAAGACAAGATCGTACTATTATGTTGAAACTAAGAGCTATTACTCTGAGTATTCAGCTCTACAAGTATCCCCACTATCAAAAATTAGAAATTGAGAAACTGGTAAGAGAGATGTTATCAATTGGAATCATAAGGCCCAATATTAGCCCATATTCTAGCCTTGTAATATTGGTGAAGAAAAAAGAAGGAAGCTAGAGACTTTGTGTGGATTATAAAGCCCTAAATAAAATTACCATTCCCAATAAATTTTTTATTCCCATTATAGATGAGTTATTAGACGAGTTGGAAGGGGCTAAAGTCTTTTCTAATTTGGATTTAAGGTCTACTTATCATCAAATTCGGATAAGGGAAGAAGATATAAAGAAGACAACTTTCAAAATCCATGAGGGTCAGTGTGAATTTTCGGTGATGTAGAGTATGAGGAAGGAGAGTAGGTATATCTCAATTTGCAACCTTATAAGATGAAGTCATTAGCTAAACAACCAAATGAGAAACTTCGACCGCGTTTCTATGGCCCATTTAAAATCATTCAAAGGATAATTGTCACCTAAGATTGTTAGTCTCAATAAACAATGACATGTAATGAACATGAGACAAACTATGTGCTTCGTCTGATTTACATCGTCTTACAGATGATCTGCATCTTACATTTCATCTAATGATCATTTTCAAAGATATATTTTAGGACATCTTCTCTTGTAAAGTTTTGTTTGTTAGCATTAAAACTATAAAGCTTGAGGGACTCAATATCATTTTTTGACTTAACAAATATTTCTAAATTTGTATGTGTGTGTGTGTGAGGGTTCTTATGGTTTTAGTTGTTATTCCTTACACATATATTATTGCATGAATATTCAAGAATTGTTTGCATGATAATTCTAGGTTAGATTATATTTATGTTTTTTGTTACTTAGTTGTCGAA